GCAGCGGAATCTACGGAAAAGCACGAAAGCGTCAGCAGTTCTCAGAGGAGCTTGCAACCTCAGTGAAGACGGCCTCAAGAAGATTTTCACTTACATGAAGCGGCGCCTGAGGCCCGTAAGTAACGCAGCTGTGTTAGAGAGCCCTGACGGACTGCCTATTATCTTCAGCACTTAACATGCGTCCGCATTGGCGGAGCATTTGGCTTCCGTATTTACAAGTGGGCATACGCCTATGCCAAGATCGACGTATGCAGCTACTGCTGAACTCGAGGGCTTGGATTGCGGTGTAGATGTCCGCAGTCTACTGGCCAGTCTTGACGGCACGAAATTTGCCAGACCTGATGGGCATCACCCGCTTATTTTAAAGTCCTTATCGGCTATCATCTCGCCTGCTGTGGCAGATCTGTTCAACAGATCGCTGTCCGAGGGTGCATTGCCGAGCGAGTGGAAACGCTTGGTAGTGAAGCCGGTTCCAAAAGGCTGTAACCCATGTAATGTGGATATTTACCGGCCGATTTGTCTCACCTCTGTTTTGGCGACCGTGCTCGAGAAGATTGTGAAAAAGAATCTTCTCCAGCTGCTGGAGTCGAAAGATCTAACGCCGGCACAGCACGGCTTCATGAAGGGCCGCTCGTGCATCACCAACTTGCTGTTAACGCAGCAGGAATGGTTGCAAGTGGTTAACCGAAGGAAGTCAGTGGATGTTATCTGCATTGATTTCGATCAAGTGAATCATGAGGTCCTGCTCCACAAGCTGAGGATGTATGGTGTTGGTGGCGCACTGCTCCAATAGCCTAGTGAATTTTTATTGGAGGAAGATGGCGGGTTCAGGTGGATGACCACCTAATGGAATGGTACCCGTCCACTAGCGGCGCACCCCAAGCCACAGTACTAGGGCCCATTTTGTTCCTGATCCTCATCAACATAGTACCTCAGCTTCTTCAGTCGCTTTGCGCATTGTTTGCAGACGACCTGAAGATTTGGAGGATTATTGATTCTCCGGGCGACTGTGATGTCCTTCATCAAGACCTCGACCGCCTATCCCGGTGATCTGCAGAAGTTGACCTACCAGTCGACTCGGCTAAGCTCTCGTTTATGAGCCTCGGGAAAGGTGGTAATGGGGGGCCTACACCCTGACAGGCCACCCGCTGCATCCCACCAGTTCCGTAAAGGATCTAGGCATACTCTCACTCTGTGGTCTGAAGTCTGTCGACAACAAACTGTACGGAAACAGATTACTTCTGTTTTGGGCACTTAGATGCAGCTTCTGCACAAGCAGCACACGCGGACACCGGTAAAAACTGATAGTGTCGGGTTTAAAGCGCATCGCTCACCCTCTATGCTTCGAGCGTGGAGTAGTGAAATATTGGAACAAATTGCCGGAGACGCTAGTCGAGGCGAAATCGGTGTCGAAATTTAAGGGGGTCCTTGACGCGGACTTTGCGGACTACAGGTATAGGGAGCACATCGTTCCCGGATAAGATGTAGTGCAGCTGAAATATGCTGCCACCGCGCAGGTGTCAGCGACATGATTTCGCGCATGTATCCGATCCACCTACGATGGAGTAACACAGGTTTTTATTTTCTCGCTCTCTATTCTCAGTATTCAGGATTGTAGCTACACACATCCAACCTCTGACTGACGTATTGATGTACCGACATTTCAATGAGAGATTGATAGCCGAAACGTTACACAGACGTTATATCGATGTATGACAACCCATTCAATCGCTTAGCCACCAGTACTTATACAGCAGCTCGAACCCGCTGGCCACACTCACACTGTCGTTGGCATTATATCTTGCTCTGCTTACATTTCTCATCTGTTGCGAAACGGTTACTTTCTCCGCAGTTTAGAATACCAGTTAGACTAATCACTTCTCACTGCCTTTTTGACATTTGCACTCACCGACCACTTCCCCTTTCCATTGACAAAATGTTGTGGCTATACTTCGTGATGTTTGTATTCTCGAAAGTTTCATCGGTCACGTACCTACTCAGTGGAATGGCCACTCATACTATGCTTTATCTTGTGTTGATAAACCGTGACCAAATATATAACTGCACCTTTGTCGCTTTCTAATGCGTATCCGCTGATGACTGATAATGGCCACCAGCAACGAAATCTATGGGAAACTGCCCGTCCGGGGCTTTCCAGCTAGATGTTTGACTGCTCTGTAGGCTGTTCGTAAAACTAGTGCCTGCATCGTTCGATCTTTCTTGACAGATTGCTGGTTCGAACGTCCTTTTCAATATGCACGGATCGTAAACCACCCCGGTAGCACAAATATTTGGTATACATTACATCGCCGTGTGAAAATCCACTCCACCTGAATTGACCGCTTCACCTCGGGCTACAAATGACACGTGATCATTGCGTGCATCCAGTCATCCGGGACGAGTGCCTTATATGTAGCGTTACATCTGCACACTGCTCATTCTCTTGACTGTTTTGACGCGTGCTAGTTTGAGGTCCAATCCCTATTTCCTATACTTTATGTCCGTGAAGCGGGAAGTTCCAGCTCATTTGACGTTTTACCCGTTCAGATGAACGGATTAGGCAGCGTTCTGCATCATCTCCGAAGTGCCGCCATGTAGCTGTTATCAGCCGGTGGTCGAGAGCATTGGTGGTGCTCGCACGACAGCGAAGCATCGATACAGTATGCCAGCGTACTACTGATGATGTAGCTATTTTTGAGTTTAGCCTGGACTCAACCCAAGCGACGTCGAATGATCGTGTACAAAACCCTTATCACCTAAGTGTTTTCTTCCTTACGTCAGATTTTCACACGCAAATTCGGCTTGCTTATTGTGTTATAGCGATCACAGAACAGCTGCTTAACGAATCTTCTCGGGTTACCAACCAAGATAATTATGTCATATCGTGCTTGGTTTCTAAGTCACCGGGAAGGTTGCTGCTCTTAGTAATGAAACCAGAGCACCTTTTCGTAGCATTGATTATCGAAAGTATAGGCTCACAATGTAGCACGATTTGTGGTACGCTGCAGCGTTATGCACGCAAAAGGCATGCAGCTTTACTGTCAATGCATGTGTTGCATCGTTCGCACTGCGTGTGGCAGCGAGTTGTTTGGCAGGAAACTCACTAGGCCAGCCTCAACGAGTCTGTTTACCTCAAAGGGTTTACGAAATGGACTGACCAAGGACTTATGAGGAGTTAGGGCGAATTTAATCGGAGATTTGGATTGCGGTTATGTCATATTCGTGGATCATTCTGATCATTATCATTGCATAAAACCGTACACTCATAAAATGCAAGCTCGTCGACAATGTGATGGATCTTACATATACATAAACACATCAACAGACGTTTAGGATCAAGGTACCTTCGCCTGACCAACACTGAACAGTCAAGAATATCCGGCTGCCGTGTTAAAATAAAGTGGCCTCCATGAAATGGTTTCTTTGTGGTTTCCACTGTTCCTACCTAGTCAACCTCGCTCTACTCAGCATAACATAAACAAGCAATCCTGCCAACGAGTGACAGCAACGCACCCTTTGTGCTGGTTGGGAGCCATGTCCCTAAGGGACTTGAGCCCTAGTTACCGCCCTCAAAACTTGCAGCATCCGACATACAAGACAATGCTTTCTTCCGTAGATGATGTGCGGACGTACTTAGCGTGTGCCAGTACTCACACAACTTATCCAACTATATTTGTTTACCTAATGAACTGATTTCATCATCGCTACCTACAACTGCCTTGCGTACCACTTCGTGCAAAGAAGACATGAGAAACGTTCTGTGGAAAATTTTTGCTAACAACTTAAGGACGCCTGAGATTTCTGGACCGAATGGGTCGGGTGTTGCCCTTGCAGTGGAGAATGATTATTTCTGTGATCCTGCGCGACCTATAGGATTAATTGAAATCTTTTTCTGATGCCAACAATGTTTCACATTCATCAAGGCAATCCTAGCTTTTACTAACGACTGCTTTGGTTGCATTCCTAAGAAAACAGCAACAACAAAACTCACGTGTTTCTGAACGATTGTATGACGCATATGCTCTAGAATACATATCTCACTGATGCATTAACATAATCATTAGTGTATTGATGATCCGTCCCTAATTCGCGGAGAGCGTCTCGCACAATCGAGAAATATACGCATCGTTATTATTATCCTTATTATTATAATATGGCGAGAATGCATGAAAAAGCTCGCCGTGGGGCTTATTCAGATTGGTTCGTGTCATCTTCCTAAGTTGAGTCTTTGTGGCCGGTTCTTGCGGTAATTTGATGCCACGCCAGTGGGTAAACACTTTGTCGGGTATAGTGCGGCCACCGAGTCAATGGTGCCGTCTTCGGACGGCCATTCCGTCTGACGATTTAAGTTTTTGTTCTTTCCTCATAATAATAACTGTCATTATCATGGTTATTTCTGCGATGTGTTACCAAGACAACTGGGTTCTTCGGCGCACCAATCAAGGTTGTTGGACTGAACCGAACTGTGCGAACGCATTTCTAGTGTAGCATGCGGTTTGGCGAACTGCCAACAAATGGCATAGGATTCATGCGATCTCAGTGGTTAACTAACGGTTCGCTCACGCCCCCTATTCTGAATGTTGTACCGCCCTCGTTTCACGAGTTCGCAGGTTGCGTGTTATCTATAGCTTGCATCCGAGCTGGCACAAGTTCGACTTGTGCGGTGGCCTTCATCAATTTGAGTGTACAGAAAACATGGCGACTCAAGTTCTGCTGACAGTGGGTCCTAACATGACCACCGATAAAACGATGACTGACTTTTGACGTTGCAACCCGCCCTGGCTGCGTGCGCATGATGCTTTATCGTCTGTGAACAACAGCATCTGAGTGCTTGCTTCATGTACCCGATGTCCACTCTGAATCAGCGTATGCGCATCAGTCTGCTCTCCATACGGGCAAGTATTTGCCTAATCACTTGACATTTTATAATTGAGTAGCATTTTTGAAGTAATATTTTTCCAAAAGACCAATTTCCGTTCTATATCTGTACTTCCCCTTAGATTTGAACAAATTATGAATGAAGACACATTCAGTCCGATCAAAATTGACTCTCCGGAAGACTTAGTCGAACTGACGCGCCAGTACCCCCACTGCATCACACCGGATTTCAACGCTCTTCCTTATCCAAAGCAGTTATGTTACTCTCGGATGGTCCCACGTATTTACTCCACCATGCAAGAGTACGTTGATTTGTGCCTCCAATTCTGTGCACACGTGGACGTGGCATACAGTGAATTAGAGGACACTGTGAACCGCGCCACAAACGCGCTGTTCACCGATTGTTTGAACGCGGTGTTGCATTCACACGTCCGGCAATCGGAGAGGGTGTTACCTCGCCTCATACAGTTTTGCATTAACCTAGAAGAACTGGAGGCCGCATACGGTCACTTGGGTTCCTACATACAGCAGCTGCTACCCTCCCCTTCGATCGATGAGATCGGTGAATTAAGTGGTCGCATGGCCACTAGTGATCACGTGAGTCACTCATACTCCTCCTGCTTTTACTCATTTCTGTCTTTCGCTGGCACGCTGTTCCATACCACATCCGAACTGCGCTGATCGATATCACAGATGGATTTTGCGTGAAATATAATCTGTTAGCTTCAGGAATGTAGTGCACTCTGATAGTGGTGGAATTGTGTTAGTAACACTTCATTGCTCTTTTACATCGAAGGTTGACTGCATTTGGTGTCTCTTAGCACATCTGAGTCGCAGTTCTTTCAAAAGCACCATAGAAAACAAAGCTGCTGATCCCAGCCCCCTTCCATCTCGCTAACTGGATATCCGACTGTTTGTGTTGTTTTTCTACTACGCAGCCCGCGGATTTGCTAGCGAAAATGAGCTCAATAATAAAAATGACTCCTCCAGTGAACTCTTAGTGTATAACGGTGTCAATCTCACATTCGTTGCTTAGAATCCCTTTTTAGTTAGCCTGCTAGCCGAAATGGACTCTTTATGCAAGATGGAAAAGTCTGCTGTTCTCGCCGTCTCCCGACTGCAAATGCCGAAACTGGGATAGGTTTGGTGAGGTATCCTCCACTCCCGACCTCACACACTGTTGTCCCATCAGTCAGTCGTTAGCATGCAAAGCGTCATGGGAACCCTTTTTAGCTCGCCTTCTATCCGAACTGGACTCTCTATGAAAGATAAAAGTCCGCTATTTTCGCCGTCTCCCGACTGCAAATGCCGAAACTTGAATAGTTTTATTAAGGCAACCTCCACTCCCGACCTCACACACTGTTGTCCTGTCAAACGCTTTGTCCCATCAGTCAGTCGTTAGCATGCAAAGCGTCAATAGCGAGATTTGCAAGGAGCCTGCCATTTAGCGTGACTAAATGACTGAATCATGTGTATCCACTGCTACTACTGCCAACGATATCTATGCGAGTGCTCTTTCATCTTAAAGGCTGCATTTCAACTTGGCATAGCTTGCATAGTGTGAAGACCTCGTCGAATGGAGTAGTAACCAAACGGACCTGGTGGATTCATAAGTTTTGACTTGATAACAGCAATGATCTTGCTTGGGCTAAGATCCGTGCTAATCACCTTGACTGTATATTAGACAGTTGCTTTGATTTTGCACGTTCTTGCCACTGAAATAGCTCGCTTATTCCATTTCTCAGAATAAGTTCTGCAATTCGACAATGCGAATACGTGTCCTGCCAACATTACGAACTCTGAACTTATTCTCGGTCTCCGGATGCGACAAACCACCCGATTAGTGGTGGTTATGGAAAACGCACTGAAAAGAAAAGGACCGTAAGACATCATTTCGGGACAACTCTTCCCATCATTAACAAATACTACGGCTGTGCGTATCCACGAACTTGCTTGACAAATGTGCATTTAGACAATTACCTACCAATTGTTCATGTGTTCTCCGAGCTTGGCGGTTTTCTCGCAAACGTTTCACCACCATGCGAGGTGGCATCCTCAGTGCAGTGATATGTAGCGTACAAGCCCAGCTCGGAGAACAAATGAACAATTAACTACCTACCAGAATCGTTGCACGTCCGGGACCCTTTTTCGTCCTCGCCGATAGTTAAGAATGAGAAGGGCATTTTCGATGTAGTTTATATATTGTTCACCACAGTCTGCGTAATCAAATATTTGCTAGCACAGTTTCCAAATTCTATATCGTACATGAGAAGCCGTACTCTACGTTTCATCCCTGTCCTCTACAAAGTTCGTAACTTGCATGACACTGGAGGCTCAGCCGCAGTATAGCACAGTTAGTTTACAAGTCGTGGCGGTCGACCGCCATCAATACTGACTTAACTGCATAAGACGCAGATGTCGAGAGGTTGTGACGTCGACTATTGATGGTTCCTGGGGATAAGCGCTACCGGCGGTTTCCAGTAGCACGAAACAGCCGCGTAAAGCTTTTCTAGGTGTGTAGAAGACTGTCTGGCTTGGAACTGATTACAATGAATAATAAATTACACCGGCAGTTGCTTTTAGACATAGCATATATTTTTCACTGCGATTCCAGTTAAACAGCGGAAACGGAATTGATGTGATATTATTTTAAGGAACTTGGAAATTCCAATTTAAGTCTCTAGAACGAAAGACCATCTGGTGAGCAATTATTCATCATCAGACCATTACAATCATATGGAGGATAAAAATACAAATCGACTCAGTTAGTTCAAAACGTATAGATCACGTGAAGATCTATGTCAGAGATGAGAAAACGAATTAGGTCTTGGTAGGCTAATTGTTTGTTTGTTGACCGAAGGCAGTCGACCTGGGCGTCTTCCGTCTTCGCTGGCCAAGGAAGCTGGAGAGCCTGGACCAGCTTCTTCTGTGAGCATAAGGACGGCTAGAACCATCGGATACATATTGCTTCAGCTGTCGCAAGCGTATGAAAGCGGTAACCTTTCGTTCGGTGCGGCAGAACCTCTTAAACTATTCGGAAAACGCGTTTCCAATCCACCTCATGGCCGGTGTTCACAAGGTGGACCAGCATGGCGCTGCTAATGGTCCCGGCGCCCCCTTGACGTAGCCAACGAGGGCGAGGTTCGTTCACGCGTTTGGATAACCCGCGCCGTTCGACCAATATACGTTGCACCACAGACGCACACGAATTGATAAATTACCATTAAGTTGGTCAGCATCGGCATATTGTCCTTGTACCGTGTACCGTCCGTCGGTAAATATACAAATTTATTTTATTTATTTTGTTTTGTCAAGGAATGAGTGATTCCGTTGAAAACACGCACTTCATCGAGGCTGCTGAGAAGGCCGACTTTACCGCCGCCGAAAGGCTTCTGGTTAGATGCTCGGTAGCCGCGTCCCCTTTGAATGGTAAAGGAATAAATAGCTCTTTCTTTGCTGCTTTTAACACTGGTATTGGTCTGGGTTTTCATTGAAAGTTCCTTAAAATAAATCCATCGGGATAACCCTTTTTACTTAGAGTATTCTGTAGGGACATTAACTCCGCGTTTAGGGTGTCTTCCGTAATGGTTTGATGATGAACCATTGAAAGCAATTGCCCACCAGATGGTCTTTCGTTCTCGTGATATTATTTTATTTGAATTCTGGATCGGTTTACATCATCTGGTCAGTTATACTGTGCAAGAAAAAAATATCTGTAACAGAAATGCCAAATAGAATAGAATGCACTCCACTGACCGTAGAAATGTATTCCGATGTTCCCTAGCACGTTAGGTTACATTGTTATAAGCTGACGATTATTTTCAGCAATGTTAAGGCTAAGTTGTACGAATTATTTGTAAATGTACAGAATCACAACATATACAGAATGCATCTATGTAGTAAATCCGTTTAAAACGTCACTGCAACACTCGCCGCTAACTACTGACTGCAGCTTGGCACTGGGAAATGATGACTTCGCCGAGATCGTCGCTTGTATGATCCAGCGCCCTCACGCTGCAGAAACCAGCAAAAGTCACCCATCCTAGAAGGCGTGTACTTGCCACTGTAGCGCTACTCCATGACTGGAATGTCTTAGTGAAAGCGTTCACAATGCTCATCGCTAACAGATCCCAAGTTCTCAGGGAAAAAGTCAAGTGGGTTAGGCAAAAGGTGCATGTTGAGTGACATTCAAGCGCCAGCAGCCCCATAGTCCGCAATGACCTTTTTGTGATGTCTTTGTAGTTCTCTGCCTATCCTACACACTGCTTTGAATGATCGCCCTGCTTTAATTCAAATGAAGTCAACTGGCATTCGAAAGCACTGTTTGCCATTATCCGGCGAATATCAGGCCCAATAAGTATCCCTTCTTTGAGCTTCGCATCACTGATCTTCGGAAACACTTGTTTCAGGTACTGGAACGCAAAACCATCTCGCTTGAGGGCTTTGACGAAGTTTTTAATCAAACCAAGCTTGATGTGCAGGGGTGGTAGATAGATATGATCAGGTTGCACAAGAGGTGTATGCTTTACACTCATTTTCCCTGCAGCATACTCCGTCCTCTCTGGCCACTTTTCGGTTGTGTAGTGCTGTTGAGTTGCTCTACTGTCCCATAAGCACAAGAAACAGCAATATTTTGTGAAGCCTCCTTGCATACCCATTAGGAGTCCAATGACTTTGAAGTCAGCACAGATGTTCCAACAGTACTTATCGTAGTTCAGTGCAGCGAGTATCTGTTGCATACTTTCGTAAGTCTCCTTCATATTGGTGGCATGCAACAGAGGCACAGTTGGGTACACATTTCCATTGTGGAGCAGTATGGCCTTAAGACTACTCTTGGACGAGTCAATGAACAAACGCCATTCATCACTGATATGCCTCACGCCAAGCTCCTTCATCAGTCCTTCCACGTCGGAACAGTAACAAAAGGTTTCTCTCGTGTCATAGAAACCGGACAATTTAACACTTCGCTTTCTGTATACAGTAACCTTAGTGTTTGCAGCAAGTAAGTGCCACTGCTGCAGCCGAGATGCCAGCAACTCGGCCTTGTCTTTAGGCAAGCCCAGGTCACGTACCAAGTCATTCAGCTCTGATTGTTCAATAAGATGTGGGTTGACAACATCAGCTTCAAAGTTTTCACAAATGTCAGAATCAGGGGAAGTTGACGATGCGGAATCACTACTCATCATCAATGACATGTTCACTGGAGGCATTGGAATGGGTAAGGTGCAATCATGAGGAACAGGTCGAATAGCTGATGGAAGATCGGGGTAATGAATTTTGTCCTTATTTTGGTTGGAGATTCCAATGACACTGGTTAGGCAGAAGTAACAGTCTGTCGTGTGATCCTTCGGCTCCCTCCACACCATGGGGATTGCAAAGGACATCTTGCCTTTGCCCTTGAGCCACTGAGTCAGATGAAGATTGCACAACACACAAACAATATGCGGCGCCCACTTCTTATCCTGATCTCCCAGTTTCATCCCGAAATATGCGTGGTAGGCAGACTTCAGTAGTGAAGAAATGGATCTGCACTGCGACTTCGTAGTAAACTGTCCACAGACGTAACAAAAATGATTTCGGTCATTGACACAGCAACATCTTTCAGCCATTATCAAGATGTCAATTAAGGAAGCACCGCTCTCAATCGACTTTCGGGATCAGGGGGATGCCATGGCCAAGAACACTTCTTTTGTACGATGACAGGGGGTTAATGGACCAATCACTGGCAAGCATCCGATGCATGGAACGCACTGCTTAACCTAAATTAAAAATTGCAATTAAAAATCATTGATAGAAACACTTGGTTTGTATATTCGTAATCAGCTCACTTGGTACTACTAGAAACATTCTGTCTTATTTTATTATAAAAATGATGTTACACAGTGATATCTATGAGCGCGCTGTTAGCGAGGAAGCCGGCGACCTAAGCTAGCTGGAGTAAGGTATACGCGCTGGCACTCTCACTTCGAGCCCGCTTCGACACATGTCCCTTCACTCGAAAGTTCCGTGTTTTATCGATTACACCTGTTTGATGGAGGTAGCAATCACACATATTTGCACATGCCGGGTGGGTTGACACTAGGTTGCTCTGGCTTCCTTTATTATAAGTACCGACAAGTTTAGAGTTGGATTGATGACGACAATTCGTATAACTGGATGAAAGTTTCTTTTTAGTTGCTGTGGTTTTCCTTTGATAACTACTTGAGCTTTTGTGGTAATCATGGATGCGGTTTTAACTAACGTCAACTCGTCAAACAGGCACTGGATCGACAAAATTCCGCTCACACGCCTAACTAAATGATCCACAGATGTCTGCTTATACAATATAAATCTACGGATGACGAAGTGAATACCGCATTTTGGTCGCTTTTTCGTACGCTGGTGATTTGAGCTATCCATTTTTCTGGCAATACCGATTTCTCCTGTTCTACTTCGCATCCTCGCCGCTGCGATGTTCTCCTGTCGGAAAACAGTCCTCCAGGGACAAGCGATTTAGTGGCGAAAAGTAAGCAACGGAAACATGCAGCATAGCTCGCTGACACAACGCTTTCACTTGCAGTGTCCAGCCAGTACCATTAATAACGAAGTAGTTCCACCAACGATGTTTCTTCCTTACTCCAGTTAAACAACAATCGGCAGCCTTCATCCATTCAGCCGAACTTGGCGCAACAAATGGCCATAGCTATTCGGTCCGCATCTGATCGGTTGTCTCGTAGGTCTCGCTGCTATGCCAACTCTATGGGACGCACTACTCCGATCACATCATCTCCTTTTCCGTGCTCTTCTCGCTCCGCCTTTCTACGCGCAGCGCAAATTTTGCCTCTTGTTGTCTACAGTGACCATGCTGTTGTGACTCCATCGCCGCTCACGTCTAGGTTACCTAGTTTTCTGTCTCTTCAACCGCACCAAGGTACATCTGCTTATCGTTCTCCCAGAGCTGTCTTCTTATTATCTTTCCATGACCCCAGCGATCACCACACTTTAGTTCATCGCTCGTAGACACCAGGTATCTGTTAAACCTACACTTCCTCTCTTAATATTAATTTAAGTAATACCCGGAAGTTGAAGATGAACACATGACCTACAACGGCCTGATATTCAGGAGTAACCATACTCCAATTCCAATCTCGCTCCGTAGGGAGATGTTGGAACACGCTCATCACGTCCACCTAAGTGTTAAAGCATTAGCAGGACAAGAATATTGAATGCTGAGTACTGTAGTATAGAGCAAGTAGAAATGAATTCCGTACCGCTCTTTCGAAATATATTGAAAAACGTTGGAAAAATTGTCAGCTGTGAATATCGTTATCGTTCTCATGTAACATGTAAAATATCTGACTCACGGTATTGCAGGACTCACAAATGTGACGTCATCGTAAGTGTGCAATCGTTCTCTGAATCGAGTAGTGGTAAAATATAAATCTAACAACATTTTGAACTGCTGCACTGATGTTGTCTCCACCACGTGTTCAGGCAAACTGTTCAAAATATTTACCACTCTCCGTTCGAAGCACAGTGGGTGGGGAACTCGCTTCACATCCCGCACGGCAAGTTTGTATCTGTGTCCGCGTGTGCTGCTGAACAGGGATGACGAATCAAATGCGGGTATATGTGTCAACCTGCGCAGTTTGCCGTTCCCATGATGCTCGCATCGTCAAAAAACCCACACGCTACATGACCGACCATCGCAGCAGCGAAGCGTCGGTACGCAGTACCAACGTGCTGTTGATGCCTTTCTTTCCGGTAGTTAAACTAAGATGTCCGTTATTTTGGGAGCTGATGTTCCATCCCGGCCCACCCTTTTAGAATCACGCCCCTCAACACCATACACGTTGCACCTGTTTCTGTTTGTCGCCTCCTTTCGTTTAGGCGTTTCTCTCTCACTCTCAGGTGCTGCACCAGGTTGACTGTTTCCAGATCTTTCTGGTCGCGTTCCGCTAACGGCAGATGTGCTCTTGACAGGGCGTGTACGCGATGCCTAGGTGATATTTCTGAAGAGGAGTAAGCATACGTTGCAGACGTCGTGGGGCGTTATGCAATAGTTTGTTGGCGGTAGAAGAGCAGTTTTTGGTCCGTGTACACAGCGGTCTTTTTCCCAAAGATGTCGTCGCTGAAACGTTCCACCGCATAAACCACTGTGAGCTTCTCCTTTTCAATAGGCCTATGTGCGACCATTTAAAGTTTTGTACACCCGAATAGTTCTGGAGCGTATTCCAGTTCGTGGTACGAAATCCGCCCCGATTGTTCGATAGGATGTTCATTACACATTCATTTTGTTGATTCGGGGGTGAAATGTAAGCATTCGTTCCATCCTAGTGTTTCGGTTTACTCTGTGCCTCGTTCTTGTTTGAAGTTTTCAAGTAGAAGTAGCGAGGCTTGGATTCGACCACGGAATCCCGCACCCGTCGAGCAACGCATTGGCCAATGGTCTGTTGGACTCTACGATAAGCACTCCTGACTGCTACCAGAGCTTTAGTTTTGTTGACTCATCAAATTTGTACTCGAATTATGTTGCACACTCATTCGTTATGTTGCACTCATTCCTGCACACTCACTCAGTGCGACCGCACTGCATGCCGTTCAATCCTAGGCCCACTGTGTCTCCAGATTGAAGGTATCGGTTTTCCGGTCTCCGTGTCTTGTTTAACTCGACTGTTCACGTTTCATCAGCTCTGATCTTGTAGCTACCTCAAACGGTATTTCTTAATAATTATCTATTCTTCTACTAAAATCCGTGTAATTCCCCCTTTACCACGGTTTTTCGCGGATTGTACTTCTTTCACCCTACGAAGATTTGAGTTCTTGTGCCTCTTGCAGTATTTTTAATTTCGTCCTGCATCACCGACTTCGAATCATTTGTCTCATCTTGAAGTATTTAGTCTAACAACTATTTTGTCTATCCAAAAAGGACTTGTGGCAAAAATTCTTTCCATGCATACTCGTCCTGTATGCGACCAGTGCTCATTTTACTTGTTGTGCATGCTCCGATTCTTTAACGGGTCGTAAAATTTCGCGTGCAGGGATTATCGCTCTAACTGCTATTTCCTCCCACTTTCATGAAACCGATACCAGCATAGTTAGTGTTGCGACCTCAACCACAGCTCCTCAAGTCACCTGTTACACTAGATCGATAACCGATGATACCAGATAACCGGTTATTTCAGTTAACTTTACTAAACCATTGATGTCTTCGCAATGCTCTTCTATCACAACTCTCATTTTATTGAAAATAGTCGGTCTCGGCCTTACGTCACTGGGAAACTACCGGCTCGTCGCCTAAAGGAGCACAAGCTTACCTTGTAATCCGAGGGCGCGGGTTGGAGCCCGCGTAGGGGACCGGGCGACCCTCAGTATACGTAGCCCACGCGCGACTGTTGCTGGTTGCGCGGCAGTGAAGCGTTGGTACTGCGTACCGGCGTACTGCTGATATCTTTTTACCGGGGGAAACTAGCCTGTAGGATTCCTACTTGCAGCGTCTAGTTCCACATGTCCTAGGTACGTGAGGTCGCGTTGCATGTGTTTGGTGATTGCAACAAGGTAGTTGACAGTGTGTTTCCGTTCTCACAGAACGCCATTCTTAGCGGTCGCTACACTTGTTAGATGTCGGCGCTGCGTCATCTTCAATGGCCTAGACACTTGCTTATCAAATTTTCTTGTGGACGGACGATGGTGGCCCAGTCAGTCATTTTTATCACAACTAACAGCAGCGTTGTCGGAATCGTAGGGAGTCGCCTACCCCCTCACCGCATTGCATTGACCGTAATCGGCGTGCGCGCTGCTCCATCCCTGCTGGACACCTCATGGTCGCTCATCTACTTGCGCTATTCCATTCGGAACTATCGTTTTCAATAACGCTTTGATGCCCCTCATGAAAAGTTTCCTCCCAAGCACACTTCCCGATCAAGCAACCCAACGGTATTCGGCTACCTACATGTTCAAAATATCTTACTGTTGCACATGTTTCAGGACAAAAACGCGCATATTTCTCTTCCTTTAAAAATCGCTTATTGTGTTATATGCTTTTCACAGCAGAAATCCGACACCAATACGGACACCACTCCGTCGTTAGGCATTACGACGCCTCCCCGAAGCAGACTTCATGGAGCGTCCCTCCTAAAAGATATCCACGCGCTTGTCGAGAGTCTCATATACGGACATCTGAACGCACGTGTCGATGAATTTATCGCAATGATCGACTACAGCGCCCTTGGTGAAAATATTGCTGATGGAGTCGTTAACGGAGAGCATAAATTGGCCTTGAAGCCGAACGAACATATAGTTGACTTGATTTCATGGCTCGTCAACACGTTCGAGGCGCTCTCCAACATCCCGCCCAAAGTCGCACAAACAGCTTGCATTTCTGTGTGCAAGCGTATCGCCAACGCGCTATACGATTTGCTGCTCAATTCACAAGCAAGTTTCCTCCTATTACTTCATGACTCCAGTTCATTTGAAATCCACTTTTGCGTCTTCACCACTTTGTATTTTCCAGACCATTCTCCAGCAACACTTATTTCTTCCGCGAAAAGTCCACTTTGCTGCGGATGCTGTCATACTAAGCGAGCGCATACCACACATGGTGTTCAATTTACCATAGTTTTTCATGCTTTTCGTAAATCCGCATGGCTACTTTTGCACCGGCAGAATGTTGTGAGACGAGTCACTCACTGTTCCTTAGCTCACAGTTACCGAAGCGCCTGGATTTGTTTGTTTAAGCACGTTGTTCGCCCAGTATCATTAGCCTACTTGCCTAGTACAGTACATCTCAGTTCAACTCCATAGCATATATTGCTGAACCTTTTGACAAATCCAGTTACCCCAGGTCTGGCCAGTTACTCTCAGGTGCATATATGTATTCACGCATGAACTGTCACAGCGAAGGTTCACATTAGCTGCGGAACTGCAAATATATATATCGGTGTTGCCTGTACGCACTAAAAGAGCCGACCACAATGGTGTTTGTGTTGCAAACTTCTCTGTCCCTTCACTTCCCGCTTACCTCCCTCCTCCAACGACGATCTCTTGAGCCATGGGTAACATGATACTTAGCATTATATTGCCTGGTTTTAGTGTTTTTTATATCCTGCGATATTTTGTGTTTCGCTTTTTCATGCATCTCATCATTTTATATTGCGGCACAATAGTTGAAGTGTGTTTATTGCCTTTAGCTAACGTGTACTGATGTCCACAATGTCATGCAGTACTCTACACGGACCGGATAGCAGGGCGCGCAAATCCTAGTTCGCTTCTTTGAAGCGAACTAGTATCTGTAGACTCATTATACTTAGCAGTGATTTCATGTTTCGCTGTGAACTCAGCGGTTATTTTACACACCATTGCGGCACCATAGATCGGGTAGCTAAGACATGATAGGATATACCTAGAACGTACACAAGCAATGCACTTTGCTTTTATTTTGTCGTCTAAAGAATTAAACTATTTATCCTTGCCTGTAATTCCCCTGGGGACCGCATCATCTTTGGCATCCTAGTGCTAACTAACACGAGCAGTGCTCCGTCATCCTCGAAGGGTCCTCACTTTGATATATTTGCCTTAAACCCTCAAATCGAATCCGTATAATCTCATCACATTTAGTGGGGAACAGCACTCGCTGTGTACCCGGTATCCCGACCAAATAAAATTCATCTCGTGAATCATATTGGTGGCGTCTGTTCTAGTTTTTACAGTACGTAAACTCATTACAGCGACGATGCACTCGTCATTGTTCATGTGGCTGTCAAGTTTAGTGAGGGTTATCACGTGGGTGTAAACTTCCTTGGCCACGCTAAATTGCGTGACAGTGCCATATGAGTTGCTTTGCTTCGTCGCTAATAACGGGCGTAACGCAGTTCCTTCATCCATCCACTTTCGCCGGAGACCTGCTCCCTGTGATTACCCCCATACTCAAATCGCCGTTTTTCCATTACCGGTTATTCTATGCTCACCTAATCCAATATTATGAAGAAGACCATCGCAGTTCACTTCCTTTACTGTAGTTAGTTTTTAGTAGTACGCAGTGGTCAGTGATCAGATGTTAGGTCAACACATTGTGATCCTTCAGGTTGTGAGTAGGCAATGGGATGGCGTACATTTCCGTAAAACCAGATGCTCATATTTCCAGTGCCTTGCGTTCAGGCTTTTGATCCAAAAGCTTTCGTTGAGGACCCTAATCGTTCTCCTGTCTAGGTTTACGCGGCCTGACAATACCCCATTCCACACACAATCACGTCACGTAGTTTCGAAAGAGGCGCTGTACCCGTTGCATGTATCAGGACGGATAAGCGAACCATGCCATTGCTTATACCTTCCTCCTTCCATTTCTACCTGTTTCTCGTACTTCCCTTCCTGCCCTCATTCTTAACGTTCCTTCCACTATCCCCAGCTTTACTGACATTCTTACTCAGACAGACAGATCAACAGACTAAGCTTGTACGCACATTGTGCACACCCAATGTCAACCTGTGCTGCTTGCCCGAAACTGGTGTCAGTGACCTCACATCTGACTTGTCTTCTCGATGTTCGTTACACGCACCAAGGAACATTGATGCAGCAGCCACAAGTCAAGGCAGTCATCATTGGCTGATGGGACTCCCTCGAACAGCCATCTGTGTGCAACCTGTTTAACGACGTCAATCAATATCAACGCACCAGGTAGTGCTAAACGCTGTCTATTTGTAATTAGTTGAGGATTCGTCGCAGCAGTGTTCAAACCAGGTAGGCAACCACATGTCCGGAAAAACGCTACACGGCCGTTTTGACCCGTTCGGTCTCGTCAGTAGTGCGCATCCGTCGCATTGGTCAGGATCCGAATTCGTGACCACCAACGACTTGCATAGGTGGCCAGCAGCTTGCGCCACTAAGCCATGCGGGACAACGGGGGACCGCCACGACTTACAAGCTGTCTATTTGGTCATCATCATCATTATACACGTCAGCTAGAGGTGGGAAAACACCTCCGCTATTGTGCCGCAATACATGAAGGAAATACATACATATAATACAATACACAATGGAAAAATAGATACAACAGTTGCATGCCAGCTGAGCTACCAGCAACGGATAGGCATCGTTCCGGTAAGCTACCAGCCAGCTACTGGGCAAAAAAAAATATTTATTATGTTATACCCTACGAAATGAAATCGCGGATGGAGGGGAGGCTAAAAGGGATGGGGAGGGACAAAGAAACTCACAGTAGGAACGCCACTGAGGTCGGCTCCTTGCCATGTCAGCAAGTGTATCCAGCCAAACGTGTTCACCGTCTTTTGGACCCCAACCAGGGAGCTGTGACGCTCCAACCGAAGCTAGCTCCGAAGTGAGGGACTTCATTCCCCTGGACAAAGTCATCGCTTGGCCACCTCTCCTCTTCCTCCACCCACATCCCCGGTGAGCAAACAACGCACATCGAGGGAGTTGGCGGGCTGGCATGCGTAACACGTGGCCCAGCCATCGGAGCCTGGTGCGTGAAATAACGGTGCTGAGCGGTTCAGATCCTTTTCCTGTGCCGAAAACAAGCCGTCGAACACGCTGGTTACTCACGCGGTGTTCCCACCAGATGTGAGCCAAACTGCGAAGGCACCGATGATCGAACTTAACTAGCCTCTTCATGTCTGCCGATCTTAGGTGCCAGGTTTTGCAATCGTACAGTAAGGTCGAACGTACCGCTGCATTGTAAACTCTACCCTTCAAGGCGAGAGTAATGTCGCGCCGCCGCCATAGGTGACGAAGGTTAGCAAAAGCACTTCCAGCTTTCGCTATACGGTTCGTGATCTCGTCTTCGATCCCAAGGGCGCTGATACAACTTCCCAGGTAATTGAATTTCCGCACGACTTCTAGCTGATCCCCACCAAGGGTCAACGCAGGAGGCGATCCCTGCCAATCTTGGAGGAACGTTTTGCATTTCGATGGTGCAAAGCAAAGCCCGAATCGGCTGAGAGCCAGTGCTAATCTGTCCAGCGCGGTTTGGCACGTCTGGGAGCTGTGACAGATGAGGGCAATGTCGTCTGCATACTCCAAATCAAGAAGTCGTTCTCTTGGGAGCAGATCCACACCTTCCAAGTCATGTCCTGTAAATGCAAACTCCATGGCTTCTTCAATAGCGAAGTTGAAAGGAAAGGTGACAGCGGGCATCCTTGTCTCACACCGCTGGAGATGTTGAAGGGTGGCGACAGCTTGCCGTAAGCTCTCACTCTGCCCGTGCTACGCGCGTATAATGCTTGGATAATATTTATATATTTCTCGGGCATACCTTTCCTGAGTAGACAATTCCAAAGGTCACATCGATCAACCGAATCGAAGGCATCTTTGATGTCGAGAAACACGACTATGGTGGGCCGCAAATATGTGTGACAGTGCTCCAACATCTGACGCATGGTGAAGATATGGTCGATGCAGCCATGACCCCGACGAAACTCGGCTTGCTCCTCACGAATCTGGCTTTCACAAGTGCCAGCAATGTGGTATGCATCGTACGGTTCAATGCTACCCATTGGGAGAACAGCGCATTTATCTCGATTTACTGGCAATTTCCACTTGATGGACCGCTCGTGTAGCTGGTCTAGAGCTCCTTGTAATCTGTCCGCATCCTCAAGGCTGGTTACTGTTGACCATAGCTTGAGGTCATCGGCGTAGATAAAGCAGTCGGTTTGAAGTGCAGTCGGCAGATCGTTAATGTACAGTTTGAAGAACTCCGGTCCAAGCACTGATCCTTGGGTAGTGCCACTATTCATAGACACTGGAGCAGAGAGGGTTTGGTTCACTTTTACGCGCATTGTCCTACCTCTTAAGAAATCGGCAATCTCGGAGAGATTTCCTGTAATGCCGATTCCCTGGAGTTTATGTAGCAGGCGTACGTGTGGAACCTTATAAAAGGCTTTCCTGAAGTCAATGAATGTTACGTCAACCTGTTTTCGGGCATCTATGGCTTCTGCGCATGTTTCTCTGGCGATGAGTAAGTTAGAGATGCATGAGCGTGCTCTCCGGAAGCCATATTGAGCAGGTGAGATGAGGTTAAGATTCGCACAGTGTAGCTGGAGGGCGCACTTGACTATTCGTTCCATGGTTTTGCACACGACTGAGGTCAGACATATTGGCCCGTAGTTGGCTGGGTCTTGTTGGTTTCCCCCCTTGTATTTGGGCAGGACGATACCTGCTTTCCAGCCTGTGGGTAGGCAGCCGACTTCGAGGGATTGCCGAAACACATGGCAGAGAGGGGCGGCGACGTACTCAGCTATGGTTTTGCGGAAGCTGGAATGCAATCCGTCCGGGCCTTGGGAGGAGTTCGGGTTCAGTTCGAGGAGTAGCTTAGTGACTACCTCTAGGTTAATTTCAACTTGGTCCATAAAGGAGTAGTGTGCAGGCAAACAGTTGTTGAGCAGTGGTGACTCCACTGAGTAGACCGAGGAATATTGCGCAGCCAATAGGTTTGCTTTTTCATCATCGCCGTAGAGAACGGTACCTTCCTTAGAAGAGGATAGAGCGGGGATTCCACTACCAGTTTTGGCATTTCGCTTCAAGTAGGCAAAAAGTTTCTTCTGACAGTTTTGGGATTCCATGGCCAGTCCATGTTCATATTGTAGTCTTTTGTCTCGTTTTCTCAGGGTGCATGGGTTTCTGACAGTTTTGTACTCTAAGTTGTTTGATGTCAGTCCTGTGCTCTTGAAATGATCGCATAGTTTTCGTCGTTTTTTCATTAGAGATCTTACTTCTTTATCAGTCCATGGGGGCCCTTTGAATGGTGGTCTGCTCTTGCAGTTTGGAACAAACTGTTCAATGAGCCGCATCATCATAGACCGCAGGCGTTCCCATGCGTCATCAAGCTCCAAGAATTGTGGAATACTCCAGTCCATGTTACTTGCAGTGGTTCTTAATCTGGGCTGGTCAGTACGCCAGAAATTTCGACGCAGTGTCCCCTGATCGCGGATTGTGAGGCGTCGTGTCCACGAAAACGAGACTGTACAGTGATCACTCTTCCCAAGATGTTGAAGGATCGTTAGACCTGATACATCAGATGATGCCGAAGTGAGAACGAGGTCGAGAATATTTGGTGTCTGACCAGGGACTATCCGCGTTGGTGTCAAGACATGCTTTGTCAGTTTGCACTCGTGAACGGTATCAAGGAGATCAACTTTAAAGGAATCCGATGGGAGATCACTGTGAAGAAGGTCTCAGATTATGTCGGGGGCGTTGAAGTCACCCATAAGGAGACAGTTTGTTCCTCTGTTGTGACTTCGCACGGAGCGTAATAAGTGTGAGCCAGGTCCTGCAGGGGCTCTGTAGACCACGCCGACCATCAGCGATTGGTATCCGTCATGAATTCGACACCAGAGCATTTCCGACATATCATCCTTGTCACAATCGGGTTCGACAATGTAAGCCTTGAGGTGGTTCTTTGTGTAGAGGATTACTCCGCCTCCAGACCTCCCACCAAGGCGATCGTACCGAAGTAGCTGATATCCTGAAACATGAACCTCCGAGTCAGATATATCAGATGACAGCCAAATTTCGGAGAACGCCATTAGGTCCGGTTGCTGTTCAGAGATAAGGGGTGGAATCTCATCTAGCTTGTTTCTTAGACCGCGCACATTCGCGAGCATTACCCGTAGTCCCTTCTTTATGTTTGAGGTCCTGGAAGAAGGAGAATTGACCTCCATCGAGCTCTCTGAGTTCTTTTGACTACGCGAAAACCCACTATGTGTAGATCTGTTTCTCCATTTGCACGTCGGGTTCGCAGCTCGCAGACAGCTTGCCTCATTCGGACTCGGTCCTCCGGGGAGAGGTCTTTCAGAACGTAGAATGTTTATCCCTTGAGGCGCGGGGTCCGTCTCAGGATGCGTTGGCATTCTTCTTCATCCTGACAGACGATTTTCAGAGGACGAAACTTGGCTGGGTCCTCTTGTTTTCTGCCAAGGCGAAAAGCAGAGATTAGGTTTATTCCTTGCTCGCGCTCATCAAACAACATGGAGACCATTCGTTTAAGGAAGGCTTGGTCGTCGAGCATCCTTTCAGCTGGAGTCTCTTTGTTAGATTCTGGGACGTTTGTGATCAGGCAGCGGTTGCGAGCAGGTGGCTTGTCTCGTTCCGGTGATGCTGGCTTTGGTGGGCATTTCTTTCCTCTGATAAGTTCCTCAAGCTGCGCTACTCTATTTAAGACGAGCTTTAGTTCCATGTTTTTGGTGTTTGATTTTATCTTGGGTCATGATATCTTCTTCGAGGCCTTGTTCTCAGCTATAGTTGTCCTCGTTTTTGCTGAGGTGCTAGCGCTCGTGACTGCGGCATAGGACTTGGGCTTATGCATCAGCCCATTCCCGTTCTCACTAGGCAACGGTGTTAAGTCCAACGTGGTGGAGGACGCCCGGCTTCGTTTCCCTTTCGGTGTAGAATATCCAAACAAGGGCAGACACATTGAGGAGATAGGTGTCTCGCTGTCCGAGTTAGAGACGGCTTGCGCGGAAACAATATGTACGTTGAAAGTGTTCGTCAGAAGTTGCTTGTCGCTGACTAATGTTAGACACGAATCGCAGTGAAAGTTGATGCCTTTAGAGGTAGTGCGCTGAAGACATTGGTAAAGATCATTATCAATGTTACAGCAAACTATATGCATCCATCTGTCGCACGGTACGCATTGGACGGCCTTGGAACGTGAGGTGACACTCTTCTCACAGTCCACGCACTTGGATATCATATCTTCGAAAAGAAAAATTTGACTATAGTCAAATTTCGTCAGAAGTGTCTATTCAGACACTTATCTTCACGAGAATTTTACCTGAAAGACCCGAAAGTATAGCACGTCAGAAAGAGGAGATACCGCGTGGTACTCACAGAGGATCGTTTGTTCTCGAATGATGAAGTCTGCGGAGGTAACTTGGTCCGTAATCTTTATCGCTCTTGACCCAGTGTAGGATGTTGTTTCCATCAACTGGTAATTATTTTGACCACACTCACTCTGTGTCCTGTTTTCTTTGCAGCCTGGTAATTTAACAGATATGTATATACTGCAACTGAGTACCGATTTGAACCACTGTGAGAATTTTGTTCGGTCCCATCCTGTGCCTGGGCTGGATCGGAACGTGCTTTTCCTTATCTTCACTGATTTGCGCCAGTTGCTGGATCTATTTCGGAGAGATGACTGGATTGCTTATGTCTCTTCAAGAAATAAACCGGGTAAGGTCGGTCACATCACATTGCGGAGATTACGTGAGATTTCATTGATCACTGTATTTCACGTCTCACTGAGCGAAATGAAAATACCAACGTCCATCAAATCCATCAGTTCATTCAACCGGGCAGTATATCAAGCCAGAGAGTACGATGTTCATCTTCCCGGGACCGTGAGTAGCACGATTGCTCCCATTTACGCAATCAGTACCAGGTAGAGGTATGGCTGCCCCACAAGCAGACAGGTAGATGGAATCGAATTACTGAACAATAGGTCCCACTCATGGCTGTTGTTCACGTGGCCGTTACCAACCTGTTACCAAATTTTAATCATTCCTTTGTTACCTCTAGATTTATTGTTTCGTATATGTACTGCCTGTAAAGCGTTCTGACGCTTAGACAGTAAGCCTTCGTAGCTGTGAAAAGCTAGCGTTTCAACGCGGTACGTTGTAGCTGTAACCTGGTATATTGCAACGTCCGTCACGTTTTGTAGTCCAAATGATGTCCTGACCAACAAACCAATGATTGACTTGGATGGGACTGGGCCGTACACCATTATTGATACATGGGAAGCTTGCCGATTCTTCGGGTTCTAGTGACCGTGGAATCAGCATTGTGTTATTTCCTCGAAAATAGCCAGCTAAAGTAAGCTGTGTACTGATGCACGATATTTGCATAGACGGGACTTCTGCCGTTTTATCTAAAGTTGTTTTCCCATTGTGATTTTGAGACGAAGCGCGCATGTGCTTGCAAAAGGTAGCGTGTTAAACTTTTACGGTTTTCTAACTGCTTTGCCATTGCCTATTTTGTCCACAGGTAACCCATACGACCGAGTTCCTCCAAACGTTGCGCTTAAATTGCTGGAACGTGTCCGTGATGGAGAAAAGAAACGGAGCGGCTTTCTGAACGTGATGCGGAAGGAGGAGCGCGACAGGAGAAAGAAGATCGACGATGTTATCCGTCAGCTTCGTGATATAAATTTCGCATCCCGCCAGTGATCTCCAAAACCAATGTGTACAACATACTAAAGGGAACGTTGCACATCCGAGCACGCCCCTTTGCACCAGTGATCCCACAGACGGTGATTTATGAATTAAACACCCATCACGTCATTCGATCTTGTCCCGACGACCACGTCGCTTTTGCTTCGCTTTTTATGATGCGTTTTTTTATCTGCAAGCACCTTACGAGACTGCGCCGCACTTTGTACCACGTATTACTCCCACAAAATTGGTGCGTTGGAATAGATACGTGATCCTATGTTAATGATTACTGGTCATGTCGCGTTCTCGTGGCACACTTAAGGGCGTGTGAGTTGCACAGTTGATGCCAAAAACACCCCGCACCCGCCTCACCGTAACCAGTCATGTTCAGCTTATCCAGACCTCTACACTGGCGCAGCGAAAGCCGCCTGTATTTGGAAACCAGTTCGACGTAAATAAATGGTATATTCTCGACAACGCTGGGCACGCCTTCGTAGGCATGAATATCGCAAATCTACACGGATAATCGGCAACTGCACAGAAATATTACAGCTTTGCAGGTAGCAATGAATTTATGTTGCAAATATATATATGGTTGGCGGCATCCTCTTTCGGATTTGCTTGTCACTGTGGCCAGCCACAGGACGCTTGCGCCTACAGAGGGACCATGGGTGGCTTGCGCTGCACCACCCACGGCTCCAACCATACCCCCCGTTTCCAGTGTAAACCCGAAGAAATAAGACGGGAGGTATGTGGATGGGAGCCACGTATCATCAACGGATCAGGCCCACACTCCTTCACAGCTAAACACAAGCACGCTGTATTTGGGAACCAAGCACACACAAGACGGTGGCTGGACCGTAGTCCGCTACACACTGAGTGCATGGAACCACTCTTTGATCCTAGCACGGCCACAAGGACCGTGCACCCGTCCCCTCCAGCAACGACCAACTGTCTCCTGGAGCCAATATGGAGGAGGTAGTGGGTAATAGACAGGTAGGCACCTTGTCAACATGCACATCAAGCGCAGCCACACCGGGGATAGCAAACAACAGCCAATCACTTGAATTGACATTATCAAATAAAATATCCATTAAAGAATACGGCTATGCAAACATAACTCTACCCTAAATTGGCGTTCGTAATCAATATTTTATACGCTGATTAAGTGAAGAGTTATGTCTCCGTATCTGTATGCATTATCCGATTTGTTTTATTTCATCTTGTCGTTTCAAGTGATTGGCTGTTGCTTGCTATCCCCGGTGTGGCTGCGCTTGATGTGCATGTTGACAAGGTGCCTACCTGTCTATTACCCACTACCTCGTCCATACTGGCTCTAGGAGACAGTTGGTCGTTGCTGGAGAGGACGCGGTGCACGGTTCTTGTGGCCGTGTTAGGATCAAAGAGTGGTTCCATGCACTCAGTGTGTAGCGGACTACGGTCCAGCCACCGCCTTGTGTGCGCTTGGTTCCCAAATACAGTGTGCTTGTGTTTGCCTGTGAAGGAGCGTGGGCCGGCTTCGTTGATGAAACGTGGCTCCCATCTGCATGCTTCCCGGTCTTATTTCTTCGGGTTTGCACTGGATATGGGGTGTGTGGATGGAGCTGTGGGTGATGCAGCGCAAGCCACCCATGGTCTCTCTGTAGGCGCAGGCAAATCCGAAACCGGATACCGCGAACCATATGTTGTACGTTGCGTGCTTATGAACGGTTTCATTAGCATCGGGTCATTTGAACGAATGGAACACGTTTAGATTCTACAATTCTTTGGCGTGGAGCAACTGCTTTAGCAACTTTCACACTTGCCTTTTTCAGGTCAATATGGCTGAGACATCCATTATGCTAACCTACCAGTCGCATAGTGCATGTGGTTTGCGTGGGACTTACACGACTGAGAAGACAAAGCTGCTACCACAGAACAGTCCGCCTCTTCAACTGACACGCGCTTACCAACAATATGAAAAAAAACCGTTGACTATACTAACCAAAGCCCGATAGGAGGCACATGTGATCTCAAGAGCCAACGCTGTTTTACAACCAAAGAGACTATATACTTCGCTGTGAACATATTTTTCTCATCAACTCAGGCACCAGTTTGCAGCTACTTCATCCATATGGCTGGATTTTAACGCAGTGTCTTACTTGTTTTCCGACTGGACATCCGACCGGTTGACAGACTGACAGTGTGCGCACAACAACTCCGCTGTGTGGTCGGATTTGGCTGCTATGCAAACGTTACTGACGCATAGAAGCGCACACCTCTGCATGTGCTTCTTACAATTGACTGCTGCATGACTTGACTGATACTAGTTACATATGTCATCAACTTCTCGAAACCTTATTCGTCTATAGAGGCATCGGGCTACCAGCTTATTCAACCAAGGTAAAGTAAATAACGTTGTGACAAGGTCAACATCACCTCACTGATCAGAGACATCACCACCGCTCGTTGAAGACTAGAAGAAACTGTTCCTTTTTACTACCTGTGTCCGCAGAATATTTCTCATATTTAGCGGGGGCTTCGAATGAGCAATGTGATGCCCTTCAGCTGGTTTTGAGGACAAAACCCTCGATATGTTGAGCTCAAAATTCACACGTTTAGTTTTCCCGAATCGCAAACCCGACAGCACGAAAGACTGAGATACAAGAAACCAAAGTATTTTTGATGCAGCTGGTCTGTCGCACACGCATGTACGCTTGCCTACCTGACAGTTCCATGCGAACTATTCTGTTGCAATACTTTTGGTGCTAAAGCATACTTTTGAAATTTGTTTCCAGAAGTCGTCATTCTTTCCATTCCTCAGAAATTAGCTAAAAGCAGTGGTGGATATCCGACGTTTTACGGTCCTTGAAGGGTCTATTAGCCTCAGCATTGGATGCGTCCGTCCAGTCGTATGCTCGCGATTTCGCAATCAGGTATTCCTCCCACCGTAGCCTCGAGGTAATGAGTTTGTTTCTTAATCTTGCGGCGCGGGTTGGAATCCGCTTAGGGATGGTCGTCTTCGCGGTATACTCAGCCCGCGTGCGACTGGTGGTGGTCGCACGGCAGCAAACCGCTGTTACGGCGTACATTTGACACACCTTCAACGGTTCTGAACATTTGTGATTCCTCACGGAGACAGGAACATGTGTTCTGCACGGTTTGATGCGAATACGTGTGCCTGTGTTTCTTGGATCACCCAGTCACCAGCCGTGTGATCAACCTCCCTCCCATGCATCATGACGCTTGTGCAAACGGCGATCCGGAGATGGACGGCAGCGTTAAATGTATGGGATCCCTGTCTAAACCGTTCCTAGCTTGGATGTGTAAGTTCAATTAGACGACCTACGGCTTAGTCACATGCTGACAGCCTCTCTATTTCCAAGACCCCATATGCGTGCTGTCTGATTTCTGCCGCAGGAGTATAGCCTCGCTGCACATCTAACCGCGCAACAATTGCGCGTCGGCTGGTTTCAACTCGATCTGTGTCAGGCGACAGACTGCGGATAATTCGCAGGGCAACTTGCTATATGGGAAACTATTATTCTTAGACCGAATATTACTCACTCGCCCAAAATGCTTGTTCCACTCGGATGTCCGGATTTTACATCAACGATGCGCGTTTTAAGGGTATGGGCTGGCTTCGAAACAACACTGTCTACCATCCGCATGCCTTCGCAATGCTACTCCTTCGGCTTTGCACAAAATATGAGGCCCAAGCCCCTCGTAGCCCATTAGTAGCCGAGGACGTCTTATGACTGTTCGCAATAGGTACGTAACATCCACACTTAACCCTCGGTTCTACTTCAGTTGAATCTAATTTCTTCGCGATTGCTCTGTCTTCTGCCGACTGAGTTGTCCTCAACACGGCACCGAGATCCTCGACAGCTGCTCCATGTTGGCATGAATTGCGTCAAGGACTTCTTCCGCTTACTAGTGTCGGAGCTAATATTAGTGTCTCTTGAATTGAGGAGAAACCCATTGTCAGTAACAGACTTGTCAGGTGTTGGATGCGCACCCGCTTGCACCATGTACCGCACCACGTAGCGTAGCGCAGTGTTCTTCAATTATGTGGTAAGAGACAGTTCAACCCCTTTGCCCTTCTGTTATGGCTACACGAAAATCCATCTCCCGAGAGGAGTAGGTAAACGCTGATTTATTTGTTCTTTGTCACTCTACGATCGAGGTGTTCTCTAGTAATTGGCGAATACGTTTGGGCGAACGGAAAGATTCCATTTGAGTTAGGCCCAGTCACTGAATAAGTGTTGGACGCTTTGCATCTTCAAAATATAGTTTGCTACCGTATTACCGGGTTGATAAGCCACCGGTGCTCACGATAATCAATCAAAGTAAGTGGGTAGGTGTGTTGCCGAAGTGGTATTGCAGCGCATCGATAGAACCAACGTGACTTCCCGAAGATGCAACTACCCACAGTGGTGATGATACATATTATCGGCCATAGGTACGGTATGCAACCCCTCCGTGCGACCGGTCCTACTGTATGGAATAAGGATGTCACAGTGCGTTGAAGATGCCAGCAGTCCGCTTTTCTGTAACCGCAGTTGTCCAATAAGTGCTGTTGGCGGCAGTACCGAGTGATTAATACTGAAAATGTATAGTGGTTCACTGGCTTCAGACAAACTGAATCGCTCGTGTCTGTCAAACGACATGATTCGCGAGCTCGTCGATCGTTCGTCTCGGCACGCGTTGTTAGCGAGCATTTTGTCTCGGCTGCACAGTTGTCAGACGATGAAACTGCAAAGAAGCGTGAAAGTTGTGGGTATGAAGAACCTGGTCATATTAGTGCGCAGTAGGTAAGAACTATTTAAATGAATGAGTAGAAACCCCATCCAACGGAATCTTAAAAACGGGCTTCGAGCGCATTATTGAGTAGCACCTGGCCACCAAAAAGACTGGAGGCGTAGGCATACTGAACTAACGCTAAAGGTGGCCGTTCTGTAACAGTAGATACGCATCGAAACTTATCGGACAGCTTGACGAAGGTCGGTTGAGGTGTGTTGCAACGATGAAATGGTTCATATCGTGCAAGTCGACAAATCAAATAACATGTAGAGGAAAGCTTCATGATGAAGCAAACGGCTGGACAGAAACCGCACGACGTTTTTGCAAATATGCAAGGAAGCTCGTTTTAAATTCTGCGCCAATCGGGATTCACCCTAAGAAGAAGCGAGAGCCAGACGCACCTACCGCTAGAGTTCGCATAACCTCCCAGTGTATTGGATTTGGTATTCAAAAACGTGAAGCAAATACGAATACGCGGTATGCAGCTCATGCAAACAGA